CCCCCCCCCCCGCCCCAACACACACGGGGCTGACATGAAGCTAGTGGACATTCAGCGGACGTTGTTATGAATGTCGTGTTTTATCCAGTGTGAGGCTGCTACTATCTGGTCATGAGCTGCAGTAAAGGGACAGCCAAGGTTGGGGAGCCTCCCCTGGGGAGGGTGGGCCTGATGTGGACTGCCAGGCTGGGGGCTCATGGCTGTCAGAGCAGGAAGGCCTTTCGACCCAAAGCTGAGTTGGTAGCCATGAGGCCATATGTTCCCATAGACCCCTGGTCCCAGCCCAGGTCAGCAACCCCTCCACAGATGTGGAAGGCCAGCAAGGGTTGTCCTGTCCAGGGCTTGGAAGCCAGTGGAGGCATGGTGCTGGGTAGAGCAGGGCAGGGTGGCTCACCTCCCTCCCTCCTAATGGCTCCTTACCCCTTCCCCTCAGGACGGCCATGGGGTCCAGAAGCAACTTCCTCACCACTTTCCAAATGCTGACTGTGGGCCATACACTATGCTTAGCCCTTTTCACATGTTGTCCTGTGGGGGTGTATCATCCTTTCTCAGGCTCAAAAGTAAGGAAAGTGAGTCTCAGAGAAAAGTGCCTCACTGAGGCCACAGAGCCAGGGTGTGTGACCCTAGAGCTTGTATGGCTGAACCACTGGGTGCACTGCCTTTCCATGGGATGTCTAGAGTGGGGGTGGGCGAGAGAAGATCTGGAATGTGGAGCAGATGGTGGTACTGTGAGGGTCCCCCTGCCCCCCTCTCCAGGGCTATCTGTGCTCAAAGCCATCTGCCACCCATTCACAACCTCAGAGCCCTGGTGGGGGGGGCGCATTGGGGGGGGTGGCTTCAGTCCCACCCTAAGAGGAACTCTCTACAAATATGCTTCCACGGCCAGCCCTAGGCCAAGCCTCGACTCCACCACTTACTGTGACCTTGGGCAAACAGTTCATGCTGCTTTATTTTCCTCATCTGTAACAACGGGCACAGTCATCATAGTACGATCCTCAACGGGTTACATGGAGGATTACAGGACAGTATGTGTCCAGGGATCATTGTGCTGGCATCAGAGTAAACCTCACCCTTTCTTTTGGGTAGATTATGAACCATAGAACCTCCAGTAGGCACTGACATTTTCAGGGGCTGGTGTGTGAGTCTCAGACAGGGTCCTGGAACCACTCCTCAGAGGCATGCTGGAACCCCACAGTGGAGATGCAGAGGCCGCCCCACACCAGCTCCCTCAGTCTCCCAGTTCCTACCCGGGTAGAGGTAGGCCTGGCAAACGCTGATGTTGGGCATCAGGGTAGTAAAGGTGAAGGGAGCAGTCCCAGGCAAGTGTCTGTCTGTCGGTGCCTCTCTTCTCTCATCTCTAAAACGAGAACCATAGTACCTAGCTGTCAAAAAGATGTGAGTACTGGTTGAGCTCAGTGCGCATAGTAGGTGCTCAGGGAGTGTCATAGTCATGAACAGCCCTGATCTCACAGTCGGGGAAGAAGGGACTTAGATTCAGATCCTTTCTGTTGGGTGGTTCTGGGAGTGCCAGGGGAGGAGATGCCCTGGGATGGGAAGGAGCCCAGCCATGCTGCAGCAGGAGACTCATTACCTCATCCTGGACCCTGTCTGCAGATCGAGCGAGGAAGATGTCGAGCCCGGGTGTGGACGGCGACCCCAAGCCTCCATGCTTGCCTCGAAATGGCCTGGTAAAGCTGCCGGGCCAGCCCAACGGCCTGGGTGCAGCCAGTATCACCAAGGGCACACCAGCTGCCAAGAACCGGCCCTGCCAGCCACCACCCCCACCCACCCTCCCACCACCCAGCCTGGCTGCCCCACTGCCACGGGCTGCCCTA